GTCAAACCAATTTAACATTTTCAATATCACCGGAAATGACGTAATTTGGGCAAAAATTGTATTTATAGCCTTCGAAACCAGTAATTTATTCAAATGAGTCATATTTGTTATTTGTTTAAAATTTTGATATTTGATTCAAATCAACTAATACAATGAACCCTTACGATCATATAGATATCACAAAATGGTTTCTAACTTGTTCAGTTGCGGAGAAATAGGCAATTTTCAACAGGTCACTTTTTAAGGTTTTTTTGTCAATAAAAGTGTCAATTATTATTCGATTTTCATGAAATTTTCACTGTGTGATACATAATGCCATTTACGATTTCATACAAGTAATTTAAGATTTTCATTATCACCGGAAGTAACGTCATTTTGGCAAAAACTGTATTTTTAGCCTTCAAAACAGATATTTTATTCAAATGAATCAGATTTGTAATGTTTTTAAAATTATGATATTTGATTCCAATCAACAAATAGAATGAACTCATTCGATCATACAGATACCTCAAAATGGTTTCTAACTTGTACGGTTGCAGAGAAATAGGCGATTTTCTACAAGTCATTTTTCAAGGTTTTTGGTCTATAAAGGTGGCAATTATTATAGGATTTACATAAAATTTTCAACATGTGATGATGCTATTTCTGATTTCATAAACCAATTTAACATTTTCATTATCACCGGAAGTAATGTAATTTTGACAGGATCACTGACATGTAGCAAATGAATTGGTTGCTGGATTTGGTTGTTTCTGTGTCCATTTTATTTCATGTGTGCAATGCTTATGTGGAAACCTGTTTAACGGTTTCATTGGTACCGGAAGTGACATAAGTTCAAGGGTAACGTGGCACCGGTGAAACCCGTCATTACTGCTTCGCAGTTCTAGTTCTTATTATTATTATTATTCTTCTTTTGTTTTGAGTAGATCTCAGCAACTGATTGTCGGATCGTTACGATTTCTTCGGTTTTATCGGAAAAGTGGGTGTGACTTAGAGGATAAAGCTATTTTGAACGTTCTGCGACAATGCGAAATGTCCGAAATCACCGAAGCTATCGTTTTTAGAAATATTGCAGTAATTTTAACAATAATCATTGGATTTTAACTTTCGATGCATTTTGGCATAGCCGGAGACGGGGCACATAGCTACGCTACTTTTGATTTTTGATTTTCGGCAAATCTTCGCAGATATTAGGCGCTAAATTTAGAAAATTTAAATTTTTACAAAAAACTTTTTTATTTATGAATATTTTTTAGTCGTGTTTTACACAAATATAACGAGTCCTCTGACTTGGGCAAAAATGTGAAAATTTTTTGTCTCGGTAATTTTCCTTGGTCCCCATTGGCTAATTCAGTTTTTCAGTCCTAGATTAATTATTTATTGTTCGATTTGTATAAAACAAAGTTCATATGCCCCGTTGTCTCAATTGTCATTTTTTTTGTTACCAATAGTGTTATCTGTCGGCACCGGAAGTGGCGTAAATTGACAAAAAACTACAATTTTGACAGTTAGGTACCATTTTTCGAAAGCAAATATTATTTTTTTCAAATCTGGTATAACTGAAATTGTGCGCCCTTTAAAGGCGCACAAAATGTTGGGACCATTTTTTTTAATTTCGATTCCGTTTTCGGGCTATTTCGATTAAAAGGTGAAAAAAGGTGTGAAATTAAGCTATTTACAACCCATCCAGCGTTTTCATATTTTAAAATATTACTTCGTAACTTTCATAAACTCGTAGCAATAATCTATACGGAGAGAATGTATGTGAAAATTAATTTGTAATATGCGCAGTTGCCGAGAAATGGGCAATTTTGCATGAGTCACTTTTTACGCTAGTTTGCCTGTAAAAGAGTCAATTATTATTCGATTTTCATAAAAGTGACACCATTTGATGTGTAATGTCAATTTTAACTAGATCAAACCAATTTAACATTTTCAATATCACCGGAAATGACGTAATTTGGGCAAAAATTGTATTTATAGCCTTCGAAACCAGTAATTTATTCAAATGAGTCATATTTGTTTTTTGTTTAAAATTTTGATATTTGATTCAAATCAACTAATACAATGAACCCTTACGATCATATAGATATCACAAAATGGTTTCTAACTTGTTCAGTTGCGGAGAAATAGGCAATTTTCAACAGGTCACTTTTTAAGGTTTTTTTGTCAATAAAAGTGTCAATTATTATTCGATTTTCATGAAATTTTCACTGTGTGATACATAATGTCATTTACGATTTCATACAAGTAATTTAAGATTTTCATTATCACCGGAAGTAACGTCATTTTGGCAAAAACTGTATTTTTAGCCTTCAAAACAGATATTTTATTCAAATGAATCAGATTTGTAATGTTTTTAAAATTATGATATTTGATTCCAATCAACAAATAGAATGAACTCATTCGATCATACAGATACCTCAAAATGGTTTCTAACTTGTACGGTTGCAGAGAAATAGGCGATTTTCTACAAGTCATTTTTCAAGGTTTTTGGTCTATAAAGGTGGCAATTATTATAGGATTTACATAAAATTTTCACCATGTGATGATGCTATTTCTGATTTCATAAACCAATTTAACATTTTCATTATCACCGGAAGTAATGTAATTTTGACAGGATCACTGACATGTAGCAAATGAATTGATTGCTGGATTTGGTTGTTTCTGCGTCCATTTTATTTCATGTGTGCAATGCTTATGTGGAAACCTGTTTAACGGTTTCATTGGCACCGGAAGTGACATAAGTTCAAGGGTAACGTGGCACCGGTGAAACCCGTCATTACTGCTTCGCAGTTCTAGTTAATATTATTCTTCTTTTGTTTTGAGTAGATCTCAGCAACTGCTTGTCGGATCGTTACGATTTCTTCGGTTTTATCGGAAAAGTGGGTGTGACTTAGAGGATAAAGCTATTTTGAACGTTCTGCGACAATGCGAAATGTCCGAAATCACCGAAGCTATCGTTTTTAGAAATATTGCAGCAATTTTAACAATAATCATTGGATTTTAACTTTCGATACATTTTGGCATAGCCGGAGACAGGGCACCTAGCTACGCTACTTTTGATTTTTGATTTTCGGCAAATCTTCGCAGATATTAGGCGCCAAATTTAGATAATGTAAATTTTTACAAAAAACTTTTTTATTGATGAATATTTTTTAGTTGTGTTTTACACAAAATTGACGAGTCATCTGACTTGAGCAAAAATCTGATTTTCTTTGTCTCAGTAATTTTGCTTGGCCGCTATTGGCTAATTCAGTTTTTCAGTCCAAGATTAATTATTTATTGTTCGATTTGTATAAAACAAAGTTCATATGCTGCGTTGTCTCAATTGTCATTTTTTTTATTACCAATAGTGTTATCTGTCGGCACCGGAAGTGGCGTAAATTGACAAAAAACTACAATTTTGACAGTTAGGTACCATTTTTCGAAAGCAAATATTATTTTTTTCAAATCTGGTATAACTGAAATTGTGCGCCCTTTAAAGGCGCACAAAATGTTGGGACCATTTTTTTTAATTTCGATTCCGTTTTCGGGCTATTTCGATTAAAAGGTGAAAAAAGGTGTAAAATTAAGCTATTTACAACCCATCCAGCGTTTTCATATTTTAAAATATTACTTCGTAACTTTCATAAACTCGTAGCAATAATCTATACGGAGAGAATGTATGTGAAAATTAATTTGTAATATGCGCAGTTGCCGAGAAATGGGCAATTTTGCATGAGTCACTTTTTACGCTAGTTTGCCTGTAAAAGAGTCAATTATTATTCGATTTTCATAAAAGTGACACCATTTGATGTGTAATGTCAATTTTAACTAGGTCAAACCAATTTAACATTTTCAATATCACCGGAAATGACGTCATTTGGGCAAAAATTGTATTTATAGCCTTCGAAACCAGTAATTTATTCAAATGAGTCATATTTGTTATTTGTTTAAAATTTTGATATTTGATTCAAATCAACTAATACAATGAACCCTTACGATCATATAGATATCACAAAATGGTTTCTAACTTGTTCAGTTGCGGAGAAATAGGCAATTTTCAACAGGTCACTTTTTAAGGTTTTTTGTCAATAAAAGTGTCAATTATTGTTCGATTTTCATGAAATTTTCACTGTGTGATACATAATGCCATTTACGATTTCATACAAGTAATTTAAGATTTTCATTATCACCGGAAGTAACGTCATTTTGGCAAAAACTGTATTTTTAGCCTTCAAAACAGATATTTTATTCAAATGAATCAGATTTGTAATGTTTTTAAAATTATGATATTTGATTCCAATCAACAAATAGAATGAACTCATTCGATCATACAGATACCTCAAAATGGTTTCTAACTTGTACGGTTGCAGAGAAATAGGCGATTTTCTACAAGTCATTTTTCAAGGTTTTTGGTCTATAAAGGTGGCAATTATTATAGGATTTACATAAAATTTTCACCATGTGATGATGCTATTTCTGATTTCATAAACCAATTTAACATTTTCATTATCACCGGAAGTAATGTAATTTTGACAGGATCACTGACATGTAGCAAATGAATTGATTGCTGGATTTGGTTGTTTCTGCGTCCATTTTATTTCATTTGTGCAATGCTTATGTGGAAATTTGTTTAACGGTTTCATTGGTACCGGAAGTGACATAAGTTCAAGGGTAACGTGGCACCGGTGAAACCCGTCATTACTGCTTCGCAGTTCTAGTTATTATTATTGTTATGTTTTCATTGTGAATTCCGGTAATTTTGTATGTTTTAAAGTAATTCAATATTAATGTAAAATATAAGTAAATAGAAAGATTTTACGGGCGAATTCTGATATCTTCAAATTGAATTCCGGTGAATTCTGATATCTTCAAAGTTAATTCCGGTATTTCTTAGTCAAAGTGAATTCCAATATTTGTTAGTGTGTTCCAGTGATTGTAAGTGAATTAGTTTACCCGGAATTATTCATCCGCAGAAGAAATAAACCTTTTTATGAACTTTGCTCTTCTTGTAGTGATGTATGGTTATAATCCCAGAAATATCGCAGTGACATTTTATTTTGCTACATTATTGAAATTACATTATTTCGATTTCGACGGTATCAACAAAATAATATGTTTTGATGAGGCGTATTATTTTTTTTTTATGAGCAACAACAGGAAGTCTAGTTTCCAACATTCGGCCATTAATTTATGAGCTGAACAAAATCGGCACAGAGAAGATATTAAATACGTTGACGTTGAATTTATTATAAACAGCAAAAATGAACCGATTAAAGTTTGAAGTACACAACCCGGAATCATACAGATGTTGTATTTGTTGTCATGTTCGAACAGGAACTCTGTTTCTTGGTCTTTTTTACTTGGTAGGCCTACGGTGTTTGTTTATATATTATTATTAGGCCTATAGGCCCTATAATATGGTAATGGTGTTCCTTAATTTTTGTCGGTACTATTTCAGTAACGTACCTCTACCAGTTCCTGTGATCGTAGAGACTTGTGTTCATGGGGCCTAGCCATGACCTCACACCAAATTTCAGCCGAATCGGTCAATAACTTTTTATTTTACCGTAGTTTAGCTTCTGTAAACTAAGAGATAAGTTTATCCGATTTTGACGCCATTCTGTTTGTTGACTATTTAGGCTCGAATGACGTCATATTATGTGGGTTAGGGTAAGGGCTAGGACCTGTAGATTTCATCATAGTCTCAAGATGTAGACAGGGCTATAGCCCTAACCCTAACCCTGGGTGAAGCCTAACCCTTACCCTAACCCATAATCCACATAAGACGTCATAAAATGCACAGGACTGTCTCCGATCTAGCGTTCTCCTTATGCGTGTCATGTCGGAACCCGTCTTAGTGTCTTGTTATTCAAGTCTAAATAGCCAACAAACAAAATGGCGTCAAAATTGGATAAACTTTCTCTCGTTATAAGCTAAACTACGGTAAAATAAAAAGTTATTGACCGATTCGGCTGAAATTTGGTGTGAGGTCATGGCTAGGCCCCATGAACACCCCCTAAAAATTTCAAGTCTCTAACGATCATGGGAACTGGTAGAGGTATGTTACTGAAATAGTACCTTTTTGTCCCCCACCTTTCGAAGAAAGCCGGGGACTATTATAATGGGTTCGTCCCATCTGTCTGTCTGTCCGTCACACTTTTTGTGACACAATAACTCTCCTTCTAAATCTAATTGAGCTAGAATGTTCAAACTTGGTGTAGCCGTAGGTGTTTATTTAATTATACTAGGCTAATGTCCAAAAGAAAGTATGCACTGTGCATTTTGTGCTGCATCAACCAAGGTCGTTTTTCCATGGTATACGGTATTTGGGTAGAATGTCAATTTGTTTCACATTTTATTTTGCTTAGAAATGTTGAGACAAACTGAGTACATGTAATGCTTTATCAAATGTTTTTGATCTAAACAAAATGCGCGGTATATTCAAACTGTTAAAAACGCTACGGGAAATTCCGTAGCCATGCAATTTCAGGCTTTGTTTACGCTACGGCGTAATTTAAATTACAAATTGTTGTTCGTTTTTGAGCAAGGGAAGATTACCTTTTGGCTCGTCCGAAGAGCCTGGTCCGTGACTCCCCGGAAGTAGTGACTGGTGACAGAATTACCTTCACTGATAGACCTCTTGTTAGAGGATGCTACACTTGCTTAAGACTGTTTCAAAGGTCACTAATTAATGACTGTAATTAAAATTTAGAGTATAGGTATAAAAAACATAGCAACATTATTTGTAACTAAGACTCCTGAGTTTAGAAGTCCTTTACGAATAGATATATAGTAATTTAAATTACAAGTTGTTGTTCGATTTTGAGCAAGAGAAGATTACCTTTTGGCTCGTCCGAAGAGCTTGGTCCGTGACTCACCGGAAGTAGTCACTGGTTACAGAATTACCTTCACTTATAGACCTCTTGTTATAGGACACTACACTTGCTTAAACATACATTATGCAAGAGAAAAATCTGATTATTGCAAGTCTTTATTTAGGCTTCAGATGTCATAGAAATTATAAATTAGATCTTTATTTACACAACAAGCACTAAATCAACTCTGTAGACCCATGGATGGCTTGGATTCGGCTTGGTTTTAAACAGGATTTCATTGATTGATTAAATTTTTAAATGGTGTCGTAAGCGGAGATTAACTGTTACGTTGACGTCATACTCCTGAAAATTTTAGATCGAGGCTAAATGATAGAGTGTACGAAGCGAGGCCGCTGTTGAGCGAGACCGCATGTCAGTCAATTTGAATGAAAGTTCGATATATACGGCCTTGATATTATGTTTAGTTGTGGTTAAAATGAGAGTTTGGATGTCAGTATTATACACACTTTTGTCACTTGAAAAACATCGCAGCTAACATCACCCCAGTTGAATTGCAGCCCCATTGGATCACTGTTTCCTATATTTGTCTGCTTCGGGAGTACACACAGGCTAACAAGATTGAAGAAGTCGGCTATAATTATGCCTCATTGATTTGGTCCAGTCCTTTCAAACTTTCGCTTCTTATCTATATATTAAAAGTCTTAATTTGTATTAAAAATAAATGTGATACAAATTGAATTGCAACCCCGTCTCAAACCGAACAGGCTAACGGTACCACAGCCATTGAAAACATTACTTGATAATCGAGATTATGTAGGTGGAGTTAACGCCTGTCAATCAAACGATCGGCCATTCTCGGAGACGGTAAAGAGAGAGTTGACTCCTATTTCTAGTCAAAAATTACAATGGTGATAACTTTGTTCAGAATAAAGTAATTTGACTGAAATTTTCAATATATTCTTCTTTCATCATCTATTTTGGAACTGTTATAGCAAGAATGGCCAACTCTCTATTAAAATCTCCCATAATGTATCTTTAAGACTGGTTCAAAGGTCACTCATTAGTGACTGTAATTAACCATACCCGAAACAAAGTCTAAAACTAGTCAGGAAACCAAAAATATCACTTAAGACTATTAAAGGGATATTCCCGAATTTCATAGAATCTGAGAATTACAAGTTCGTGTATGTATGAATTTTAAACGCCAAAATATAGAGGAATTATGTATTTACCTTGTCTGAAAAGTTCAGTTCAAAATATTGAGTCGTTTGGACGTGAACGTCAAAACCGCTTATCTGGGCACTAGCATTTTTATACGCCCACATTGAAATGTGGTTGTATATGGTCGTCGCCCCCGTCCGGCCGGCCGGCCGGCGTCCACAATTGCTTGTGGACGCTCTAGAGGCTAAAGTTAATATCTGATTGACTTTAAATTTATATACAGTGTTTAAGGCCATGAAACGAAGAAGCCTATTGATTTTCAGCGATTTCCGATAATAACTGCCAGAGTTATGGCCCTTGATCACTTCAAAACATCTTGTGGACGCTCTACAGGCCAAAGTTAATATCCGATTGACTTTAAATTTATACACAGTGTTTAAGGTCATGAGAAGAAGAAGCCTATTGATTTTCAGCGATTTCAGATAATTACTGCCAGAGTTAAGGCCCTTGATCACTTTGAAAAATCTTGTGGACGCTCTAGAGGCTAAAGTCAATATCCGATTGACTTTAAATTTATACATAGTGTTTAAGGTCATGTGACAAAGAAGTCTATTAAATTTCAGTGATTTTCGATAATTACTGCCAGAGTTATGGCCCTTGATCACTTCAAAAAATCTTGTGGACGCTCTACAGGCCAAAGTTAATATCCGATTGACTTTAAATTTATATACAGTGTTTAAGGCCATGAGACGAAGAAGCCTATTGATTTTCAGCGATTTTCGATAATTACTGCCAGAGTTATGGCCCTTGATCACTTCAAAAAATCTTGTGGACGCTCTACAGGCCAAAGTTAATATCCGATTGATTTTAAATTTATACGCAGTGTTTAAGGTCATGAGACGAAGAACCCTTTTGATTTTCAGTGATTTCAGATAATTACTGCCAGAGTTAGGGCCCTTGATCACTTTGAAAAATCTTGTGGATGCTCTAGAGGCTAAAGTTGATATCCGATTGACTTTAAATTTATACACAGTTTTTAAGGTCATGAGACGAAGAAGTCTATTCATTTTCAGTTATTTTCGATAATTACTGCCAGAGTTATTTCCCTTGATCACTTCAAAAAATCTTCTGGACGCCCTAGAGGCCAAAGTTAATATCTGATTGACTTTAAATTTATACACAGTGCTTAAGGTCATGAGATGAAGAAGCCTATTGATTTTCAGCGATTTACGATAATTACTGTCAGAGTTATGGCCCTTGATCACTTAGAAATATCTTGTGGACGCTCTTGAGGCTAAAGTTAATATCCGATTAACTTTAAATTCATACACAGTGTTTAAAGTCATGAGACGAAGAATTCTATTCATTTTCAGTGATTTTCGATAATTACTGTCAAAGTTATGGCCCTTGATCGCTTTGAAAAATCTTGTTACGCTCTAGAGGCTAAAGTTACCATCCGATTGACTTCAGATTGATACACAGAGTTTAAGATCTTGAGACGAACAAATATATTGAGTTTCAATGAATTTTCATGACTTGAACAGCTAAATCCATGATATTAAAAGTTTTGTATACTAAACGTTAGCATGGGGCAGAACTTCATAAAAACCAAACACATTCTAATGGTTTTCTGATAATTACTTCATAAGTTGATACTCTTGATCAGATTTTAGTGTTTTATAAATGTTTCATTACCGAAAAAAGTAAAAATATGCGACAACCCTTGTTGACTGCCCGGACGATTTAGCTGCTGTGGGCGTATGTTTCGTTGCCTGGCAACCTATCTTTAAATAGTTCGGGTCAAACTTTTCGTTGGCCACTTGATAAGCGCGACTATATTTGATACCTATTCTAAACTTAATCCATAGAGAGTTTTGACTGAGTCTGATTGTTGGTGGTAAGCGATAACTTGAGAAAATAAAATGGCCGCTCTTTGTACTTAAGTTGTGTAAAAGTGTGTAATACGAAGGTTGTCGACCTTCAAGTAACATTTTGGCAATGACTTCACCATCCTTGCAATCAAAATTGGCTTTGAAATCATTCCAATTTCCATCTAGCTATTTCTCCGCATAAATACACACATTCGTCTATTTTCTGTGCTCTGTAACCTCACATATACTCTTTTCTTCTTCGTTTCTTTGCAGTATCTGTATCTATTTGCTCTCTTTGACACTTTTGAGAATTATCCATGATGAATTGAACAAGATAAAACTCTGAACTTTCAATTTGACCCGAAAGATTCACTTTTTAGGCAGATGTACTGGTAAATTATAGCAATTGGTTGTTTAAAAATAAACATCCAATCAGATTTCTTTTCTCAAATTATATCTTACTGCCAACAAACGTATCGTAACTTCCTGAATTATGGCCCTTGATTGTACGAAAAATCACGTTTTTAGCATGTGGTCGCTCTAGAGATAACAATTTTTATACACCCACATTTTCATGTGGACGTATATTTTTGTCGCCCCTGTCCGTCTGTCCATCCACAATTTGTTTGTGGACATTTTACAGTTCACAATTCTTATCCGATTTTGACGAAACTTGAAATATAGGTTTATCTCCAAAAGATCTAGTTTCCTTTGGATATTAGCATTTATAAAATTGTAACTTCCTGAATTATGGCTCTTGATTGTAAGAAAAATCTCATTTTTAGCTTGTTGTCCCTCTAGAGGTAAAAAATTTTATCGGTTTTTTTAAAATCGTTTGAATATATCACTGTTACACCGTAATGATGGTTGAGGTCGAATTTTGTGAAAATGGGACCAAAATATATATCACCGTTACACCCTTATGATGGTTGAAAATCGGATCAAAACTGCCAGACAAAATGGCCGACCCTCATACGCAAATATTGTAAATATATGGTACATCAAGGTTGTGGACCCTGTAGAGGACACAGTTTTGATCCGATTTTGATGAAACTTAAAATAAATGTTTATGTCCCAAATATCTCAGTCCATTTCGATATTCGCGCATTTCAGAATATAATTTCCTGGATTATGGCGTCTGAATGTACGAAAATTCCCTTTTTTTTTTTTAGCTTGTTCTCTATCCATCTCTTGCAAAATGTGGGCGTATATTGCCTGGCAACTGCTGGTTATCCGATTTAAAAAAAAACCATTTTAATATATCATCGTTACACCGTAATGATGGTTGAGTTAGAATTTCGTGAACAAAATGGCCGCCCCTTGTTTGCAAATAGTGTAAATATACATGTATGGTATATCAAGGTTGTGGACCCTCTAGAGGCCACATTTTTTATCTGATTTTGATGAAACTTGAAATACATGTTTATAACCCAAAGATCTTGGTTCCTTTCGATAATAGCGCATATCAGATTGTAACTTCCTTATTATGGTCCTTGTGAAAAGTCGTGTTTTTAGCTTGTAGTCCCTTTAGAGCTCACAATTTTTACTAGATTTAAAGATTTGAAAAAAAAAAACGTTTGAATATATCTCCATTACACTCTACTGATGGTTGAGTTCAAATTCCGTAAAAATCTGACCAAAACTGCTGGACAAAATGGCTGCTCCTTGTATGCAAATACAGTAGAATCTGTATTAAGCAGCCACCCAAGGGAATTTTCACAACTGACCGCTTAACGGGAGTGGCCTCTTAATAAAATCTCGTTGCTTTTTGTGCCGACATAAATTAAATATTACTCTTGGATGCATTGGAAGTGGTAAATTTGGCCGTCGCTGAATCTTGCGCCGAACGAAAATTCTTTACTCAAATCTCGGACATAACTTAACGGGAGTGGCCTCTTAATAAAATCTCGTTGCTTTTTGTGCCGACATAAATTAAATATTACGCTTGGATGCATTGGAAGCGGTAAATTTGGCCGTCGCTGAATCTTGCGCCGGACGAAAATTCTTTACTCAAATCTCGGACATAACTTCTGTAAACTTGTCATTTTGTACCAACCTTCGATACTACTGTCTACCATTGTGATGCATTCGATAATATTTATCCATTTTTGTGAAGAAAATCGATGAATTCATTTTATTTTATCAAAAAAGCACATGAACAAAAACATCGCTAATTTTATCTCCTATTTACAGGGGGTGTAACTCTGTATGTAATATTATAGGAGGCGCTAAGAGAGATACTAGATGATCGTGACAAAACTCGGTACTTTTATTTTATTCAATCAGTATCAAATAATGTGTCGTTACGCGTGAAAACAATGATCAGGTTAGTCGTTTAATAAAACAAAAGATTAATTAACAGATAATCCCGGGTTGATTGTTATGTTTACATTTCTTTTTACCTGATCAGTGGGGGTCCAGTTAATTAACTACTACTCACGGGATTAGCGGGGGTGTTACAAAGAACGACAAGATGGTATCATTCAACAATGGCCGTTGAATGGGCGATGTTTTGTTGAATTTATTAGTAATATAGTGACCGTTGAATAAAGAGATGAAACAACAGAATTTCTACGGGGGGAATTTATCGTGACCGCTTACAAGGAGATGTCGCTGAATAGGAGTGGCTGCTCATACAGATTCTACTGTAGTGCAAAAGTATGTAAAACCAAGGTTGTGGACCCTCTAGAAGTCACAATTTGTATCCGATTTTGATGAAACTTGATATGTATGATTATAATTCAAAGATCTTGGTTCCTGTCAGTATTTGCGCATATCGGACCATAACTTCTTGGATTATGCCCCCTGAGTGTACGATAAATCACGTTTTTAGCTTATGGACCCTCTAGAAATCACAATTTTTATCAGATTTTGATGAAACTTGAAAGATATCTTTATATCCCAAATATCTCAATCCATTTCAATATTCGCACATTTCAGAATATAACTTCCTGGATTATGGCCCCTGATTGTACGAAAAATCGTTTTGTTTCTTTTTTTTAGCTTGTTCTATATCCACCTTTGCAAAATCTTGCGTGGCAGCCGCTGGTTAAATTCAATGTACATGTATAACAACTTCATAGAAGATAGAAGTTAGTATTTACAAGAAATTGAAGACAGTGGGAGTGTGGGACAATTGTGCAGTCTGTTCACCAAACCTGATTAAAGACAAAAAGATAACTGTAAAATTGACTACAGAAAACACTATAAAAAAACTATAGAACTAGAGTATTTTCCTTTAGAAATTTTTGCATAAATCTGCAGGAAAAATTATAGGATTTGCACTTCAGAAACTGTAGAGTATTTGCGGCCGTTATTTCCTACAGGCCCCCCAAATTATATAAAACACTATAGAATTTCATCCCACAGAAAATGTCATAGACCCCCCATCACACGTAGAATGCATTTGAACTTTTAAAGGTCAGTCATCTTAGTTCGAAGAAGGCTTTCGCATTAACTCTGTGAAACAGATTGACTAAATGCCTCTAAAGCTGCCAATTGGTCTCTATTTAGTTAGTCACAGAGGTTATTGAGCACTAAATGTTTGCACTACAGTACAACAATGATTATGTTGGCCCATACAGCAATGGTTCACAATCTTTTTTCACTCTCAGACCTTCTACAAATCTTTGAGGATACGCTGCTCTCACATCGATCTCGATTGACACTGTCCAGTCAGATTGTTTATAACAAATACTAAAATTCATTGTCTGACTACCATCGATACTGTAATTTGATAAATGGCCAAATCTTATTTTCAGCTGGTACAGTTATTCTGTGTCGGGTTACTGATCATGTTTTCAATACGTCCAGATATCTTGGTACCTAAACCTGGAAGCTCTATGATGTCTGGTGGGATATTTGTGACTGAAAATGAAGATGGAACACATATTGATACATACACAGTGTTAGCCAGTAGAAAATTCAGCAAAGGTTTGTACTGACTGTTAATGATAATCTATTTCAGATTTCATAGAATCGTTCTTTTTGTTAGGTACTGTGAAAGGACATATTTATGTGTTTTCATTGGGCGTTATCGATTTATGATGTCTTATTTCTTGATGTGTTTTGTAAAGTAAGTACAGGTTAATGAAAGATGTATATGTCGGACACAATACAGTTCCACCCTGTTGTTTCGGTCACTGTGATTTTTATACGCCCACATTGAAAAGTGGTTGTATATTGTTGTCGCCCCCGTCCGTCCATCCAGCCGGCGTCCACAATTGCTTGTGGATGCTCTAGAGGCTAAAGTTATTATCCGATTGACTTTAAATTTATATACAGTGTTTAAGGCCATGAGACGAAGCCTACTGATTTTCAGCGATTTCTGATAATTACTGCCAGAGTTATGGCCCTTGATCACTTCAAAAAATCTTGTGGACGCTCTAAAGGCCAAAGTTAATATCCGATTGACTTTAAATTTACACACAGTGTTTAAGGTCATGAGACGAAGAAGTCTATTGATTTTCAGTGATTTCTGATGATTACTGCCAGAGTTATAGCCCTTGATCACTTTGAAAAATCTTGTGGACGCTCTAGAGGCCAAAGTTAATATCCGATTGACTTTAAATTTATACACAGTGTTTAAGGTCATGAGACGAAGAAGTTAATTGATTTTCAGCGATTTCCGATAATTACTGCCAGAGTTTTGGCCCTTGATCACTTTGAAAAATCTCGTGGACGCTCGAGAGGCCAAAGTTAATATCCGATTGACCTTAAATTTATACACAGTGTTTAAGGTCATGAGACGAAGAATCCTATTGATTTTCAAAGATTCACGATAATTACTGCCTATGTTATGGCCCTTGATCACTTTGTGACGCTCTAAAGGCTAAAGTTATCATCCGATTGACTTCAGATTGATACAGAGTTTAAGATCTTGAGACGAACAAGTATATTGATTTTTATTTCTTGCCAGCTAAATCCATATTAAAAGTTTTGTATACAAAACGTTAGCATTAGGCATAACTTTATAAAAACCAAACAAATTCTAATGGTTTTCTGATAATTACTTCATGAGTTGTTGCTCTTAATCAGATTTTAGTGTATTATAAATGTTTCATTACCGAATAGTGTTAAAATAAGGTATATCAAAGTTGTGGACCCTGTAGAGGTCACAATTTTTATACGCCCACATTTTCATGTGGACGTATTATTACTATTATGCCGTCGCCCCTGTCCGTCCGTCCACAATTGTTTGTGGACTCTCTACAGGTCACAATTCTTATCCGATTTTGACGAAACTTGTATAGGTTTATCCCCAAAAGATCTCGGCTGCTTTCGATATTGGTATGTATCAGATTGAAACTTCATGGATTATGGCCCCTGATTGTACGAAAAATCATGTTTTTAGCTTGTGGACCCTATAGAGGTCACAATTTTTATCCGATTTTGTTGAAAATTGAAATGTAAGTTTATAACCCAAAGATCTTGGTTTCTTTTGATATTCACGCATATCGGACCGTAACTTTTTGAATTATGGCCCCTGTTTGTACGAAAAATCGTGTTTCTAGCTTGTGGACCCTATAGAAGTCATACTTTTTATCCGATTTGAAAAAACCATATTATTATATCACCGTTACACCCTAAGGATGGCTTAGTTGGATTTTCGTGAAAATCGGCCCAAAAATGACAGACAAAATGGCCGCCGTTCGTTCTCAAATAGCATAAAAATATGGTATATCAAGGTTGTGGACCCTATAGAGGTCTCAATTTTTATCCGATTTTGTTTAAACTTGAAATGTAAGTTTATAACCCAAAGATCTCAGTTCCTTTTGATATTTGCACATATCGGACCGTAACTTCCTGAATTATGGCCCCTGATTTTACGAAAAATCGCGTTTTTAGCTTGTGGACCCTATAGAGGTCATAATTTTTATCAGATTTAAAAAAACCTATTATTATATCACCGTTACACCCTAAGGACGGTTGAGTTCGAATTTCGTGAAAATCGCCCCAAAATTGACAGACAAAATGGCTGCCGTTCGTTCTCAAATAGCGTAAAAATATGGTATATCAAGGTTGTGGACCCTATAGAGGTCACAATTTTAATTCGATTTTGTTGAAACTTGAAATGTAAGTTTATAACCCAAAGATCTTGGTTCCTTTGGATATTCGCGCAGTTTGGACCGTAACTTCCTGAATTATGGCCCCTGATTGTACGAAAAATCGCGTTTTTAGCTTGTGGACCTTATAGAAGTCATAATTTTTATCCGATTTAAAAAACGTATTATTATATCACCGTTACACCCTAAGGAATGCTGAGTTCGAATTTCGTGTAAATCGGCCCAAAATTGACAGACAAAACGGCCACTGTTCGTTCTCAAATAGCGTGAAAATATGGTATATCAATGTTTTGGACCCTATAGAGGTCACAATTTTTATCTGATTTTGTTGAAATGTAAGTTTGTTCCTTTCGATATTTGCGCATATCGAATTGTAATTTCCTGAATTATGGCCCTTGATTGTAGAAAAAATCACTTTCTTTTTAGCTTGTTCTCTATCCATCTCTCGAAAACGTGGGCGTATCCTGCCTGGCAGCTGCTGGTTTTTCATTATTAAAACTGACCTGATGTCACACGTTGGGATAGCCAATATTTATGGAACGATAAACTCTTTGTTATTCTTCCTATGACATATTGCACGTACCTGATTTCGAAGACTTGGGTCTGCAGTACAGTAGTGAAATTTTCATTAAAGAAATAGACTTGATAATCAAGTCTGCTATTAAATCACGAGAGTTGGAAATAATGGCGGGAAAGGTCACTCGTTTTACCTCGCTGGAATTATATTGTTACATGTACCCGTAGTTAGGCTTTCAGGGAATTTTCAGCTATGGTTTTACAATTTTATTTTTACAAGACAAATGTTTTATATCACGTGAATATTTATTCTTGAATTCATGACAGTACACTAGATGGACTGACCTAGTTTAGTAGCATACGTGTTTGGATCTCTCCATTGAAGGAATGAATAATATGCCAGATTATATTCAATATCGGATATAGACAAATAAGACAGTAAGTAAGGCATACCATCGGAACACACACTCATCTATTCAACACTTGATCAAAATGGTTTAATAATATCCTCCCAAACTCTGGGAGCGTGCTGATATTTGCAAGCACGACCTCACTCCTACAAGGATAATTTCTTTCGGTGGACAATTTTATTTTTATTTCCGGTAATGAAGTACTGTTAAATATCTGGATGAAATATATTTCGGATTTAAATAGGGGCAATATAAATATTCTTAAAGAAGAATTTGATAGAACCATGAACAAAATATCCATGACAAAAAAAGTCGGCTCACAGGGCCGACCCACCATCTTCAAAATAAAAAGATGTCGGCCCGTCCAGTTATTTATCGGCGATGGACCGACGTAAATTCTAAACACTGTTGCAGCCATTTCATATTTTATTCTCTTCATCTTAAAAAGTACCATATCAATCATAGCTGGAATGTGGACGTATATTGCAGCGTAAGTGATGCTCTCGTTTTAGCTTGTGGTCCCTCTGGAGGTTACAATTATTATCCGATTTAAAAATACGTTTGATTATATCACTGTTACATCGTAATGAAGGTAGAGTTCAAATATCCTGAAAATCGGACCAAAACTGCCGGACAAAATGGCCGCTGCTTGTAATCGAATAGTGTAAAAATATGGTGTATCAAGGTTGTGGACCCTGTAGAGGTCACAATTTTAATCCGATTTTGATGAAACTGGAAATGCATGTTAATAACCCCAAAGATCTTGGTTGTTTTTGATATTCACGCATATTGGATCGAAACTTCATGATATGGCCCCTGATTGTACAAAAAGTCGCATTTTTAGCTTGAGGACTTTCAAGAGGTTACAATTTTGATCCGATTTTAATCAAACTTGAAATGCATGTTTATAACCCAAAGATCACTATTCCACCATAATGAAGGTTGAATTGGAATTTTGGAAAAATCGAAATAAAACTGCCGACAAAATGGCCGCTCTTTGTATGCAAATTGTATAATAAGTATGTAATTCAAAGGTTATGGACCCTCTAGAGGTCACAATTTTTATCCAATTTTGATGGAACTTAAAACATATCTTTATATTCCAAAAATCTCAGTCCCTTTTGATATTTGCACATTTCAGACCACAATTTTCTGGATTATGACCCCTGCTTGTACAAAAACTTGTTTTAATACGCCCACATTTTCATGTGGACGTATATTGTTGTCGCCCCTGTCCGTCCGTCCGTCCGTCCACAATTGTTTGTGAACAGTCTACAGGTCACAGTTTTTATCTGAGTTGACGATTTCAATGAAACTTGAAATACAGGTTTATCACCTTATAATCTCGGTTCCTTTCGATATTGGCATGTATCGGACTGTAACTTCATGTTGACGACTATGTCGATTGGAATAAGGTTAGTTAATTGTTTTAGACGATAGCGCGTGCTACAGACGAATGCGATTATTTAGCTGCAGTTAGGTGTCCCTTGCTAGTTTTTGAGCGACGTTTACTACGAAATAAATTTCGGGATGTCATATTTTTCCTTTCGTATATAAATCGAAACGGAGTATGAGATGAATGTCGGTCTTTGCTGAAAAATGTATCGAAATATGACCCGAAAAATACGGTAATTTGGGGGGAATTTGAAACAGGTACCGATCGACAGTAGTCGTCACACTTTCATTCTATGGTATTACGATGTCATGTAATTTTTTAAGAATATTATTGACATAAATTTTAATACCGTACGGGAATTAAGCATGAAAAATAACGAGGTGAAGATATTTTATTATTACGTATTAATTTGAATATTTTGTTGACACATGATTCTTAATTGTGGTTTGAAAACGTCTGCTTAAATAACGATAAGAGTGATGCCCCTTTATTTTCGGGAAAAAAATGTCCGACAAGATAAATTTTGAAATCCCATCATTGATTATA